TCTCTGAGCCGGGAGTTCTTTCAAAGGAATTATTCCAACAAATGCCTGTGTTACAAGACACAGGGATTCTGTCAACTTTGAGCTGCAGAACCAATGGTGCGTGTCCAAGGATGTCTACCCTATGGCTAGGAGTAGTAGAGGAACTTTCAAAGTTATACTAGAAGGAACTTCAAGAAGAGGATAGTTGATAGAAGAAGGGAAAGGTAAGGGTTTGCCTACTAGAGATCTCTTTGAGTAACTATTTTGAGGAGTGGTTTTTCAATGATGATAGTGACTAAAAATTGACTCTTCTTTAAATCTGTTCTAGATTTTTGTTGTAGTGAAAGAAGGTGAGTCCTTTCTTTCTCAGGGGGATAACTCTCTATTTATATGTTTCTCGTATTATGCTTAACTTGTGGTTGTGTTAGGTTACCTTTGGTTCTCAAATGGTCCGCTTGTGGTTCTGCTTCTGCGAGGTTTCCATTTAGTTGTCTGTGGCCTATTTGTGGTCTGGACGCATTTGGTCAAGTATTTTGATTGCTTCGTAGAGGGTTCTCGTTTCATAATGTTTATTGTTGCTGTGATTTATTAATCTTATTGAATGATTCCTTTTGGGAATCTGGGCTTGGGTTGATGTTTCAATTGAATTACTTGTGTAGTAATGTATTATTTTCTAATCTTTTACTTTCCAAAGATAAACAACTTTATGAGGTGGTTTTTGTCTTTGATACTTAGACGCAAGATTTATAAGTTTTTCCTTATTGTTTTAATGTTTTTTAGAAGTAAAAAATGTTTATTATTTTTGTCTTTGAAACTAGACGCAAGGTGTGTTTTGGTAATATGAAATTGTAATGCTATATATACATTATTTATAGTGCAGTTCTATTGGCTTTTGCTCTGCAAAAGCTCAAGGGCTGACAGTATTTTACAGTCCAACAAGTTGTCTGATGTTGCAAAGTATACCGTAAATTGAAAAAAATCAGGACACCTAAAAAGGTGTCCCCAATGCTGTTGAGCATATATTTACAGAAAAAAAAACACCGTAAAATTGAAAAAAATTGTCCGTTTTTTGAAAAGGTTCACAAGATATTTCTGACTTGAAACTCCCTACTGTGCTGTGAACCGTCAGCCCAAAGCTTGACAAATTGATCACATGAAGCCCAAGCTTTCCAGATCCAAAGGACTGGACTCGGGTACAAAGTTCTGTTTCCCAATTGAGCTCTTTTTACGTTCATAGAAGACATTTCATAAATCTGATAAAGGTCCTAGGAATGTGCCTATAGAGGTATGTGAAGAAGCCTGTTTTCCAGTTTTTCGGCTCTACACAACCCACCACTCTTTGTCTCAAGGTCCAGAGCACTTCAAAAGATGTGCATGGACTAGGGCGATAAAATGGGTCTAATTTGAGGCTCTAAACTTCTCTCACTTTGGTGGAAAATTGATTGGTGCAAAAAAAATTCGTGTCTCAAGGCCAGATTCCAACATTCAATTTTAAGGCTGTTTTTGACCGTTACATCCAATTGTCTCAGGAAGTATAGGTGCTGAAAGTTTGAAACCTAGCTTGAATGAAATTATTCAATCTCACGCACATTTTGCACTACTGTAGGTGCTGTAAATGTGTTGTTTAGTGCCCGAAAACCTCGCCAACAAAATGTCGGAATTTACATCTCATACCTTTATAGGCGCATTCCTGGGTCCTTCTGTAACCGCTGTGGAAACTATCACACGACTTGTTCAGGAAAAACAGGGCACGCATGATCGTATCTGCGCTCGTCAATTCGGAAAGTATGTTGGTCCTTCATGTACTACGGTGTACGTATAGACTCATACTGACATATAAACATGACATGGATAAAACATGTAATTTTTCCATGTCATGTTTGGTCGAAATTCACCCCCGAGCCAAATACCGTACGACACGACTCATACTGACACACATCGACATGGATTTTTATTTTCCAAATCCCATGTCGTAACATGAGTCATCTCGTACATCGTACCGTCCGGGAAGTGTCATACCGACACAACATGACACCAAATGTAAACTTCTCCAAAATATTGCATTCGGATCGGACTATCCGATTTTTGATGTATTTTTCTCTGCAAACAAGAGTTTTAAAAAAAATTAAACACTCAATCCTAGCTCTACAGTCAACTATCTTTATTCAATAATCCATCTACATTATTATTACTCTGTCTTGCTCTTCCACAAATAATGCCAAAACAAAACAGCATAGCTATCATCAACACAGTACTGGAAAATGGTTTCAATGACGGACTCACCATACGAGAAATACAAGATAACCTTGTGAAAGAAGGAATCACAATGACTGAGAGAACAATCTATTGACATTGTAAACGTTTGGATCACAACAACACCAAGCCACCTGTTTGCAAGGATCACCTTGAAAGACGTAATGCCATCAGCAAACACTTCCATGATGGCAAATCAATTGAAGAGATGCTCATATGTGTACTCTAACATATGGGTTGCATTTTGTTTTATGTGTAATGCTTTGTTGGATCACAACTGGGATGGCATTCTCTTTGAAGGAAAAGATCTCAATGTTTTTGGTACTTTACCATCAATATCTTACACATTTTTATTTGAAAACTCATATTTTGTATGCATCTCAACCACAAGTATACCTTGAAGTATATGAAAAAAACAATACTGATTCATAATTTGAAAAAAGGAGCCAAATTTTTATAAAGCTCAGAAAATACATGAATTAAGTCAAATGACAAAGATTTTAATCTTGCTTTGAATGCTTCCATCCCATCCTTCTGCTTCTCACTTTTTATCATATCACATTTCCTTTTGAACACATTTCTGTGATGGAGATCTATACTTCTTCTTACCACTAATACCAAACCAATTAAAAGAATATCAGTTAAAGATTCCTTTGGTCAGACAGCAACCCACTTTCAGCGTCCATCCCACACTTGGATAATGATGACTAGGCTTGCATAAGGTCTGCGTCAAACCCTACCCACAAGAATCTGGTGCGTGAAGCCAACCCAGCCTTGGGGAGGACAAGTACAGTTGAACCTCAGCAGTGACCATAGATCATCATGATCCAAAACCAATTTGATAGAGGAATAGCATTGGTGACATCAAGTAGTTCCGCATTCACATAGTGAAGAATGAACATGCAAGATACAATTCTATCCCCTATCAAATTGGCCTGTGAGACTTCTGTGTAGACTGCTATCTGACCATCATGGAAAAAAAAGTAAGTTTCATCTCACATCATTACCATGTTTTAAATAGACAAATCTAAAAATCAGCAAGTTGAATTACTTTCAAGAAGTTGAAATGGTTTGTTTTGAGTTGACTTAGATGAGATTGCTTGTTTTGATTACAAATGAAAGATTCAATGATGAACTGTTGATATGATTGATTTCAGGTGAATCAGATGAAGAAGATTGATCTTGATTGAATCAGATGGAGATGATCGATCTTGATTGAATCAGATGGAGATGATTGATCTTGATTGAATCAGATGGAGATGATCAATCTTGATGATTGAAACGATCGATTTTGATTGAATTGGAGGGGGAAAATGATTGATTATGATTCAATCAAATGAAAAGGATCGATTGAATATAAGATCAATTTTGTGCCTAATCACTAAAAAACATTAAACCAATGTCAAAGTAATCATTAGTAAAATGTTGAAGACTTGTTTCTTAGGAAATAACAAATGGATTGAAAGGGGGTGGGACTGAGAAGAGGAATGGAATCTAAACCTGAGCAAGAGAACAGTTCATTAATTGAACAGAAAAGAAAGGTACTTTTGATGGCAAATCAATAAGTTCCAAGTTGAATATTGTGAGTACTGCAAAGATAGAAGGAGTTGAAATACTTACCCAAAGAAACAAAAGTGAAAGATGGAATGTTGGAGTTGGTAGGTGGGAAGGGTTGATGATTTAAAAGGTACTTTAGACCAGAGCTCGGTTTAAGAACTTTCTTTCGGATTTCAAATTTCAAATATGAACTACAGTTTGGCTGAATGCTGTTTAGCACAATGTGATTTAACACTCCGGTGGTGAATCGGGCAAAGCTATTACAGTCAACTCCCTCTAATTACATACAGTTTGGCGGGTGGTTTTTTCATGCACTTAAAGGAATATGCACTTATAGACCTCATTTTGGCTTGAAAACCCCTTTTTGGCGGCAAAAAATCCTATGCACATAGAGAATTATGCACTTATAGGGATATCAACTTAGAGGGAGTTGACTGTAGATGTGATATGGTGTCATGTTGTTTGTCGGTATGACACTTGTCGACCGTCAGACCATCCGCCATGACTCACGTTACGACACGGGATTTGGAAAACAAAAATCCATGTCGATGTGTGTCAGTATGAGTCGTGTCGTACGGTATTTGGCTCGGGGATGAATTTTGACCAAACATGACATGGAAAAATTACATGTTTTATCCATGTCATGTTTATATGTCAGTATGAGTCTATACGTACACCGTAATGTACAGTCGTTTTCAAAAAGCTTGCCGAAATTTGCCCGCAAAACTCGAGCGATTTGGCGGTGAATTAGCGGCAAGCTTTTTGAAAACGACTGTAACTCCAGGGCTAGCATGTACCTATCATTCCCGATATTCCAATCAGCAAAGTGATCTACAACAGCCTACCATATTCCCACTTGAAAAAAGCTTGCCTAGCTTGCTCCAAATCTCTCTTGTTGTCGTGAGTCGATATGAATTCTATGGATATATAGAATCGGGCAGCTTTCTGGAAATTCAATCAACTCAACGAAAACGATGTGTTTGAGTTTGTGTAGGCTTGTGAAGTTGTGTGGCTCAATTTGGCGGCACGAAAATCAGACATCCCATCGCACTCCGAGTCTCCACAATGATTTCTTTGTATGCAAAGCACGCTATTTGAGCGCTGTGTACTCTTGTGTACATGACTATGCGGATCGATTTTTGATAAACACATTTTTAATAAACAGATGTCGATTTAGCAGCGTCGTTCGCACGGGGAGTCGAAACTACATAGAATCTACTATATAGTGTGACTCATCCTATGTCGTATCTGCCGTTGTTCCCTTCACTCAAGTCCGTCTAACATAAAAATCACACTAGGTCTACAGATATTTTCTCAACTTCCTGACTCGCCTTTTGAAAATGTCTACCCCGATTTTCGAAGTTTGTCCTAATCCTTCTCATAGGGTCTCGGCTTTGTTGGCAGAGGCTCGCAAGCTTTTGTCGGATATAAGCTCTACAAGTTGTAGCGATGGTGGCAATGGAGGAACTGGTCATGATCCCGAAACTGCGAAAAAGGCTTTGGATTCTATCTTGGCTGATGCTCAGGCGGTGGTGGACGGACAAGAAGACTTCGTGCAACGCAGGTAGGAATGTCTCACAACAAGATCCTTTTGACTACGTGGTTTTTTTTCTGAACCTCATAACTTCCTTCACTATCTTCCAGCTCGAATGTACCCGATCCCAAGGCTCAATGGACCAAAATCTTGGAAGAGATGTTAGCCTCTACTCAATCGACTGATTGGGGAGGTCTCTTTGCTTCTGGTCAAATCAGTTACAGATTACTCCCTGCCATGTCCTCAAACAATTACGAAGCGGGGATCATTACGTTTCTATCTGGGCTTCTCAAGCCTCGCCGCGTCCTAGAACTCGGAATGTTCACTGGAACAATCACTCTTACATTTGCGGCAGCCAAGTCTGTGGAACAAGTCGTTACGCTCGAGGTTGAGCCTTTCCTTGAAGGCTGGTGTCGTCCCTTCTGGAAGCGTGCGGGGGAAGGGTTAAATGAGAAGATTGACGTGCGAGTGGGGGATGCAAGAAAGACTATAGACGAGATGGCTCAAAATGGCGAAGCTCCGTTTGACATGGTGAGTGTTTATTGAGGTCGTGCATCCAAGGATCTGATCTAACTCCCGATCTCTCTTTCCCCGTGTAGATCCTCATCGACGCCGACAAACCCTCATATTTAGCATACTTCCGCAAAATCGTCGAGCACAAATTACTGTCCAAAAACGGCGTCATGATCATCGATAATGTCTTATTCGCAGGTACCGCTTACGCACCTTACCCCGTTCCACTCATCAATCCTCCCAACATCGATCAAGCTTCAGTTCAACGTAGTAATGGTTATGGAGTCCATTTGAAAGAATTAAATGCAGAGATTTGTAATCATCCTGAAGTCGAAGTCATGATGCTGGGAGTTGAAGATGGTTTGAGTTTAGTCAAATGGAAAGATCAATAAAGAAATCATGAGGTTCAGGCTCAGGATCTTCTTCCTCTTTCTTATGAATCAGTTGCATGTTTTCCTTGATAACCCAATCCGAAGCCGTCGATTTCAGTCTGGTCAGCTCATAGAGAATATCACAATTGTTTATATATGCCAGTCAAATCTGCCCGCGTGAATGTACTCTCTAGGTGAATTCTTATTGTCATGAGTTGATCTTGTATTTATGTCGTGCTTTTGCGCAAGAATGAATGATATGTCTTCTACGTTACATCAAAAGTTGACCCACTTATGTGCCTGTTTGGCTAGAGATGTTTGTATGGTTAGCATGTATCTATTCATTGTGATCAAGAAGCTTTGTGGAGTTGTGCCACTTGAACAATGAGACCGCCAATGATAAAGACATTGGATGTATACATGCCTCACCGGAACAATCACATTTAAACGGGTTTCAAAAGAGAATACACATTCAGGTTAAATTAAATATGATTATGACAAAAGACTGAAAGGAAGTCTAGTTAGTATAACTAGAGAAATTACTATGACCATAAGGAGCAGAGCAAACCTGATTGAAGTGACAGATAGGCAACATCGAGTTTGATATTATTGACACAAGAGCAAATGCAAGGGAAAACACAAACCTGAAGGGGATTCTAGTTAGTATAACTATGTAGAGTGATATAAATCACTATGACTGTAAGAAGCAGAGCAAATCTGCTTGAAGTGACAAGTAGGAAACAGCAAGGAAAAAGAGAAAAGTTACAAAAAGGCTAAGAGAGCTTTATCTTTTATACGCTATGGTGAATGTTGCTCTTTTACATTTGACAAGTCTCAGCAGGATTGATTTAATTGAGATCCTGATGTATGACTAATAGTACTATATGGGTTATATATATCTTACTCATACCATATCATTTCTAATATCATATGTTATCAATCTTTTAGGGCGCGCTCACTTAAGCAATTTCTGGTGAGAAATCACATTCTGCAAGATTCAAAGCGTCTATTTCGTGGCGCAGTTTCATTTTTGTATTAAAAAATTCACAGAATGTGATTTCTGGTCAGAAATTCTTTAAGTGAATGTGCCCTTACTGATGTCATCAAATGTTAGCAATCTTTTCTATAGATCTTCTTATGATCAGTTTGTAGTGTCATTACAAACTAATCATGACTGCTTAGTATAATCTACACATCTAACAAGAATGTTTGGAAGCCAGTCAGGTAATTTATGGTCAGAACATCTTGGGAATTGAGTCTCAAGTAAAAATGTCAAAAATCAACTTTCCACAAATAATAAATCCAAAAGATTAGCCCAAGCTCTAGCAAAACTTCGTCATTTTCAAGAAACTTCTTTCCAGCGTAAGACATTTTTAGCATGTGTTTAGAAATGTCTATCAAAAAGCTAAATTGAACTGCTCACATCAAACAGGCCTTGAAAACCTCACCGCCACCTCATTGAACAATGTTGTACTGGTATCAGATATTCTAGCCGGCGTTCTTGATTTCCAAAAAGACAATTTGAGTTGGTATTGGTGCGAGTCAAAGAATGGTGAATGGTGATTCGAGAAAAAGTGCATATTAATATGAGCTCAGTTGGTGAGAATTCAAGAAAATTTCTCACTCGTCCTCATTGGAATCAGGGGAAGCACTGACACCGCGGGAATTAACTCGTTTGAAACCCAAATGAGTGAAATTTCGGTGTCCGGGTTCGAAATTTCCCCGAATCAAGAAACTCGTTCACAACTCGTTTGCAATAGGTTTGCCAATTTCCCTTGGGCTGTACTCTGTACTCTGCTGGCCCCGTGTATGTACAGTCACATGATACAACAACAAACCCTTTCACCATTCCTCACCTTCACCTTCATTTGTCAAGCCTTGATCAACCATGAAAAAAGAAAGGAGTTGGGTGGGGACATGATGAGGGGTGAGATACTCTTTCTCTAAACTCGGCATCTCATCGCTTGGATGTTCCATACCGTTGTCAGAATCTGATTTCGAAGCAATAGTACTACCATCATCTGAACCATTGAGCGGAACAGGAACCGGAGTGATTGTTTCAGTTTCAGGCTTACCGACCAATAACCGATGGCGAATCAAGCGCCATAAGAAATCAAATCCAAGTCTGATCTTGCCTGCACGTTCTGAAGAGTTCTTCACACTAAAGAATGAAGGCTTCATCTCCCTAACAGGGACATGAGCTGGGAAGTGCTTTGCTCGCCAACCACGAGAGGCCTCTGCGGCGACTATATTCTTTGCCTGTGAAGGTTTCAAACAATGAATCAGATTTGAATCAACACAACAGATTAACACAATCAGATCCGCATAACTCACCTCTGCAAGTATGAATTCTTTCCAATACTGCTTTCCTAGAGTCTTTCTGCAAACCACCTTTTTGATAGAATTCAAAAGTATCAAAGTAGAAGGCCATCCACGTTTTGAACCCCAGTACCTGCGAGCGTACTGCAAAACGCTTTCATCATCATCTGCAACTAAGAAAGTTTGAAAGATATCCTTTGCTTTCCACTCGGAGGGATGTGATTTCAAGTTTTTGATTATGGAAACTGTGTAGGCGACCATTCCCGAGGGGGGTTCCGTTCCATCGGTTGGAATTGAAGGCATGTTGGGAAAATTTCGATGGAAAACAGAATTTATAATATTCTATAAGAGTGATAGCTTGATAATAATTTCTAGTACGCTATAAGTAAGAGTGAAAGTTTGATAATAATTTCTAGTACGCTATAAGTAAGAGTGAAAGTTTGATAATAATTTATATTAAGTTATGAGTAAGAGTGAAAGTATGATGAGAATTTAAAGTGAGCTTTAAGTAAGAGTGAAAATACGATAAACAGTTGAAGTAAGCTAGAAGCAAGAGTAAGAGTACAATAATAATTGAAAGTGAGCTACAAGTAAGAGTGAAAGCACGAAAAAAATTGTAGCAAGTAAGTAAGAGTGAAAGTACAATAAAAATTCAAAGTAAGCTAGTAAGAGTAAAACAGTGAAAGTTTGATAATGATTTTGATTAAGCTATAAGTGAGAGTGAGAGTAAAATTGAGATGGAAAGCAAGCTATAAGTAAGAGTGAAAGCACAAGAAGAATCTAAAGTAAGATGTAAGCTAAAGTGAAAGTACAATAAGGATTTAAAGTAAGCTGTAAGCTAGAGTAAAAGTGCAATAAAAATTTAAAGTGAGCTATAAGTAAAAGTGAAATCACGATGAAATTTTCTAGTAAGTAAGTCAGAGTGAAAGTATGAGCAAAATCTAAAGTAAGGTAGTAAGAGTACAAGCTTGATAATAATTGCTAGTAATCTATAATTAAGAGTGAAAGTGCAATAGAAATTCAAGGTGAGCTATCAGAGTGAAAGCACAATCAAAATCTCTATCAAGTGAGTAAGAGTGAAAGTTCAATTAAAATTCAAAGTAAGCTATAATTCAGAGTAAAAACTTGATGATGATTTCTAGTAAGCGTAAGAGTAAAATTTTGATTCAGAAGCTGATGGACCAGGTTGTGAGTCAAGAGACACTAGCATATGCTACATGTTATCAAGAAAACATGCTGTGAGGCCTTGTGCGTATCCGTTTAATATTGTCAGGAGGCGTATTTTCATAGCTTCATCATTGTCACATGTTGTGGCTCAAGTTAAAAGGGATCATCCAGGAATCCTCGCCAATTTGAGAAATTTGGTTGGGTGTTCGGTTTTAATTACCTACAAAAGTGTTCAAGGGTTTGTTTTTTGGTGTTCCTGATCCTCATATTACAATCTGGTAGCCTACAGTGTGTTAGGTATCTTTGATTAGTACTTAGATTTACCATGCTACAATTTGCTTGTTTATCCTTTTTTTCTAACAGTTTTTGGGGTTTAATTGTTTTCTTTACCAAAACTTTTGTAATCATAAAAGCATAGACATCCGTCTCTCTTAGACAACATTTGTGATACACGCTCTCAAGAAAAGGAACCAAGCTCTTAGAAGCCACTGTTATGGTATTTCTTGCAACTGATCGTTTCGCTTTTTTGTCTTGTGAACTCTTTATCTGGCTCTCGTCTTGGATTTCAGTGTTTTGGTGTTTTGGCACGTAACACAAATTTTTGGGGCATACAACAAGCAACGATGATAGGAGAAGATTGCTTTGAATAATTTCTTAAGTGTACAGAAGTACTAAAGGAAAAAAATCAAAAAGCAATGGTCGGAGATGATCACTTTGAAAAGTTTCCTAGGCGTACAGAAGTACTAAAGGAAAGAATTCAAAAAGCAATGGTAAGAGAAGATCACTTTGAATAATTTCCTAGGTGTACGGAAGTACTAAAGGAAAAAAATCAAAAAGTGTTGCAACTCTGAATAGTTTCCTAGGCGTACGGAAGTACTAAAGGAAAGAATTCAAAAAGCAATGGTAAGAGAAGATCACTTTGAATAATTTCCTAGGCGTACGGAAGTACTAAAGGAAAAAAATTGAAAAGTGTTACTACTTTGAATAGTTTCCTAGGCGTACGGAAGTACTAAAGGAAAGAATTCAAAATGGTAAGTTCTTGGGAAGCGGGTCAAACGCGAAGGTGGAGGAGATGAGATATTTATACGCCAGATACATATAAATAAGCTGTGTGATCTGCTATACGCCAGGCGCCACTTATCATCCTGAAGGGCTTGAATGGCCCCTTCAGGATTTTACATCCAACAGACTAGCCCCTGTGACGATAAGGATTGTGCCTTGATCGTTGCAAAGGGCTGGAATAGTCCGTTTACTGATAAGAAAGACGAGAATGAATAATAACAGAAACAGGTCAGTATTGTAAGATGGAATAGAATACGATGAGCTCAACCAAACACCGGGGACCCAAGCGGTAAGATGACTCAAGTGGATGATCGCACTGGTTTGGTTGAGCTCAAAAAAAAGTGAGTATGCTTACTTGGTGGAGGGAGTGTTGAAGTGGTTGTCTGACGCGATTGGGATGTGGCCAGCGGGAGCAAGAGTAGATCGATTGTAGTGGTTCTAAATTCTGAGACCTAAGTTGATGATAGAGATGTTTTAACCTGAAGTACTACATATGTTATCCGGCAGAGTCCCGGCTGGCCAGCCCTCTCAACAGCTCTCAATCCGATTGGAAGTCTTGAAATGAAGACCAATTAGCATGAAGTCAATCAAGAGAATCAAACAGAAGCCGAGTTTAGATTTGTTTGGTGAAAGGAACTTGAAAAGATTGATCTGTTTCGAAAATTAGTCCTTGCAACGATAAGGAGTGTCTTGATCGTCGCAAGGGCCTGGAATGGTCCATTTAGGATTTTCTACTCAACAATCTAGCCCCTGCGGCGATAAGGACTTGATCGCTTTGTCTGATATCGTTGCAAAACCTACGATAAGGATGCACATGGATCAGACGTACATCCCTCTCAGCTATGAAAAACATCAGTTGCTGCACTTGTTTCTTTTACTTGACCAAAATTAGCACCAGAATCTCAAGGAAGATGAAGTCTATGAGCTTGTAACCTAGTCATGATGGACTCAATCACCAAAGATATTGCTCGCTGGAATTGGTGGTTAACGTTTCCAGCTTGGGACTAGTTAAGTTTGGTACACCAGTCAAAGCAAAACCATAAGGCAAAAGTACTCAGAACTCGCAGCAGAGACCATAATAAGTTACATGCTACAGGTGTGATGAGACCGAAACATTTGGAGAAATTTGAGGCAAGAGGAAAAAACATTCCTCGGGAAAAAAGTGCAGTACATTATGCGCAAGAAGAAGGCGAACAATTCTTGTCTTTGGTCCAGACAAGAATCCTCGGTGTGGAAAGGTCTAGATGGATTGCAAGGAAGCTCCCTGCGAAAAGTCTTACCCTCAGCCAATAGAACATGCAAGTTCGATGGGACTTTGTTAAGTTTAAGGTTTTGAAAGTGCTGTGTATGTGTATGTACATAGTAGTGTACTCGAGGGAAATCGGCGAACGTAATGTTAACGAGTTGTGAATGAGTTTCTCGATTCGAGGAAATTTCAAACCCGGACACCGAAATTCCGCTCATTCGGGTTTCAAACGAGTTAATTCCCGTGGTGTGATGATCATCAATCATTTTACGTTTGAGATTCAGAAGACACAAAAATCATGAGAAGACTTTTTCTCAGATTGGGAGGAGAGGACTGGGATGCTGCCAGTGCCTACATATTGCAATTTGCCATGTCTTTTCGTGGTGGACCGGCCCTGATTATCGGATCGTATCACCGGGGCTATCCGTGGGGTCATACAGTCTCAGAGCCGTTGACGAAAGATTCGACTCGCCAGATTTGGAGAACGGTCAACAAAAAATGTCTCCCATTGATTTGGTCATTAATCAACTTCCAGCATCCCCGCCCTCCAAGCCTCATCCTCGGCTTAATCAAATCAATCCAGAAATTGTTTATGAATATCTACCCAGCCCTGATGATATCGATTCAAATCTCATAGTGATGTTCCATGGACTTGGTGAGTCCGATACAATCAAACGATATATGATTTCTCAAAATAGTTGCACCTCTTGAGATGAAACTCACGCACACTTGACTTGTATCATTTGGTAGGATATAGGTGATACTCCCAAACCTTTTTCAAACTTGGCGAAAACTTTAAAGCTACCTCAGACAGCTTTCCTTATCATACGTGCTTTCGAGCGTGTACCATTATTAGAAGAAGAAGCTTTTCAGTGGTGGGATTCTTTTGATCCATTGACAGGTGATCCAGTCACAAATCCAAATCCAAGCAAGAGTATTTCTAGACTAAATGCGGTGCTCGATCATCTTATTTCAAACGAGATCGGATGGCATGCTTCTACAATTCACCTTTTCGGTTTCGCGCAGGGTGGAAGTTGTGCAGCTGAACTGCTCGTGAACAGGACCCGCAACGCTGAAGCGCCCAATGCAAGCAAAGATGGGCCTCAAGCCGCACGACCTGCCCTCGGCTCACTGGTGACAGTGTCGGGCCCGCTCCTCTCTTTACCTACGATCTCACCCGAGACACGCTCACAAACACCGACGCTGCTCTGGGTGCGAAAACATGAAGATACCATTGGTCGATGGCGTGCGGGTTTTGCAAAGGGTTTTGCGTTCGTTGAGCACTTTACCGCTTCAGTTCCTGGTCAGGATGGTCAACCTTCTATGCCTAGAGGCCAGGAATGGGACCCTATTATGAAGTATGCTTTGTTTCCTGAAGAGTTATCAGTAGAACTCTCGAGAGAGCAATATTTATACCTTTCCTTCATTCCCATTTATCAGGTTCTGGTCCAAACACCTAAGGCAAAGGAACGCATGGGAGATCTCTGGCTCTACTGCGAGCTCTAGCAATCCATCGGAGAGGAGTACTGTTTATGAAGTCAATCAGTGATTCAGTCGTGGACGAATGTGGCAAATTTACGTGTACTGTTCCATTATAAACAGGATACCCAAGAGCACCTTGCAATGAATGTTGCAATTTAGCGGTCGCCGCTTTAACCCTTTTTGCGCACAAAGACCGTGTTCCTTTACTCTACATACATATGGACAGGCTAGAAGTGAGCATTTGACCGCGTCCAACTGATGAGTCAAGCATTGCATGTTGCCTACGAGCAATGCATGTTTGTTACAATCTACGGACATTAGTGGCTCACTGGTGACCAGGCGAGAATGGGGTCTTCTACACATTCTTAGTGAGCCCCTTATACGGCAATGTGAAGTACGTTACATAATGATGACTCGTGATGGTCATTGGTAGCAAAAATATGTATATGTACCCCGGATACCCAACAGATGTGACGTCGGAAAGAAGCACGGGAGGATGCGTGCGACTTCACATCCCTGATGAATCACGACCACGCCGGGAACCCTACTCAAGCTGCTGATCAACAACAACAGGACCCAAGAACCTTGATGTGTGCCTGTTTCGTTACATCCATGCATGTATAATTGAGTAGAATTGAGTCCATAAAGGGTTGTTAAAGATGGGCTTCCGTCCTCTTCCCATCATTCCTCTCGGCGACAATTTCGTGATTCGATATCAAAACCATCCACCTCATGTGGCCTTTTTCATCACCCAAGATCTATCTTCAGGACTCATCGGAGAGGCAACCACTTTTAAGGTCGAAATCACCAGTCAGTTGATTTCGAATGATCATGGTCATCAGATAGAGATTATGAACACCACTGACCATTAGACATCCAATCCTGCTTATCCTCACCGATATGATATCAAGACCTTTGACGAATCACAGACGAATGCTACTCAAGAGACTCTCCTCGATGATTTCATTACCCCTCTACCCAGGAAACAGCTCATCGTTCTATGTTTGATGCGGATGACAGGTCAGTGACGTCATCGGTACAAGTGAAGAGTGCCGCGACAATGCAAGGATGCCTTCTGAGTAGGTTTTTGATGCGAAACATTATTAGAACCGATCTCGCAAGGCTTGATCCAACCTTTTATCAAGTGCGTAGACATCCATATAGCCATGGTCACTTTTACAGCTTTTGAATGTTGACAAAATTCCATTTCATTTTGTACATGATTAGTCGAATGTTGGAAGACCTTCATGTCACACCCGATCGAACTGATATCGGCTTTTACGCTGGCCTTATCACTAGTCAGTTCCTTGCTTGATCCAGAATAAAATGCGATGGATTTGAGGATGACAAATTACCCATGCATATATCTTGTTAGGTTTATTCGCCCTTTGCCAACTTTGTACCAGTAAGCCAAAGACCCCGATGACGTGAAATATCTTGATAAGGATCGTTTGACCGACTTGCGATCGTCTGATGAGCGTTGCTTCCATCTGACTCTATAGCATTTTGGTGGGGAAGACTTTCAGATCGGATCGGAAGAAAGCCAATCCTGTTGACCGGACTGACAGGTTTGTCAATTAGCATAATCAGCTTTGGATTACAAACTACCTTTATCGGATTGGTTATTTCACGTTGTTTGGCTGGTGTGATGAACGGTAAGTGTTTCAATTACATGAATTGTTTTTGAGAATTTTACTGATTGCTGCTCTATCCTTACTTTCGTATCTCAAGGAAATGTGGCGGTGATCAGAGTAAGTTACTGATATCTCTTCGAGAGAATTTGCGATTGACGTCTTCCTTGTCTGACTAGAGCGTATTGGCCGAAATTACCGACGATACCAACAAAGCTCGGTTCGTTGCAAATCACTTGTCTCTAATCGTGTGAAGTCATGATTCGAAGGGCTCTTAATGGTACCGATGGTGTAGAAAAATTTGATCGATGCGCTGACTATCCTTCTTACCAACCCGAAATTACCTAGGGCATTCGGTGAGTTCAACTGAAAACCAGAGACTGGACGATTCTGATTTTTTTTTCTACGTTCTATAGCTCTTTTACCTATGACTGCGGTGAGTGAATTTGAGAACCTATCCCGGTACAGTGGGTATCATGGCATAATGCAAAGATACTCTCAAGGCCACATATTCATCAAATATATCCTATGATCCAGGCCCTTGGCACCATAGTGGGACCAGTAATGGGCGGATACCTCGCTCAGCCCGCAGAGCAGTACCCCAGTCTCTTTGGCGAGATCACCTTTTTGAAGAATTATCCATACTTTTTGCCATGCTTTGTTGCGGGCTCGACAAATGCTTTGGCAGTCCTATTGGGGTTCATTTACCTAGAAGAAGTAAGGCCCTTTGATTTCGTTTCGCGTCGTTGATTTGATTGTCATTCACTGAAATTCCAAACTACCACAGACACTCGAATCAAAGCAAACAAAGAAAGTAGAAATCAGTCCACTTGTATCCAATCAAGCAGAGGGGTCGTCTTCCACAAACGATCAGACCCCAATTGGTCCTCCATCTCTGAGAGACCTGTTTACTCCCACGGTCCTTACGGTCCTCTTGAGCTTTTTATTTCTAGCGCTTCAAAATTCAGCTTATGCAACCCTTGTTCCACTTTTTTCCTACACTAGTGAGTGGCAAAAGACAGCCTGGTCAAACACACCTCATTATTGATTTCATGAAGCTGATCAGTTGGCTATGCGATTATTCGGTCTTGACAGGACTTGAAGATGGTGGTCTCGGACTTTCCATGAATCAAATTGGTATTCTGTCAAATTTTATGTCTCATCCATTACTCCTGAGCTCAACATGCAACATCTGTTTCTTCCAATATGATATATAGGTACGGCACTGAGTACAAACGGTTTTGTAGCGGTGGCTTTCCAAATGGGTGTATTCCCCATGCTTCAGCGAAGATTAGGAACCTTACGCTTGTTTCGAAGTGTTTTACTTTTCGTACCATTGTCGTTCATACTATTACCGGTCGTACGATGGCTTACACTACGATCTATTGAAGTCAATGGACCTTCCAGTGGGAAATCAGTGGCTATTTGGGGTTTAATATGCGTACTTGCTATCAAAAGTTTGACCGGGATGGGAATGGGTGAGTTTGATTCTCTAAAACTACTTTTCTGATGATTATTATAACTTTTGTTTTATTAGTGTGTATCAGTCTCTTACTCAATGCAGCTGCCCCATCAAAATCGTCTTTTGGAGCTCTAAACGGTCTTGGTCAGGTAAGGATCTCGACCACAAAGATATCATCTTTTTCTCACACAAATTCTTCTTATCTTGGATTCGGTTGGAATATATATGTTTCCGCACACTGAAATTTGTTAAATATCTCGTTAGTCATGTTCCGCGCTAGCCCGGACTGTCGGCCCAGCTTCTGCAGGTGCACTTTTCGCTATCAGTATTAATAAACACTATCTTGGAGGGAACTTAATTTGGGTAGTAGCCATCTTCGTACGCGATAATTTTCAAGCTCTTTCCTAAATCACAAACAGGGTTTCTATCATTGACTCGTGTTGTAATTTGTTTGTTTAGGTATGTGGTTGTACTTGTTTGACATCATGGAGAATTCAATTAGAGGCTTCTCCAGTAAAGAAACCTTTCAAACGTCCATTGCGATCAACTACGTGAAGAGTAAGGTGTGCTTAGATGACAAAATCTTACCTTCTTATTCATTGAGCCCTCGTTCATCTCTCGTTATAGCCATCAAGCATTCAAAAAAAATCTTGCTGATAATAATATCTATTCTGAGCCAGCATTCTTGTACGATATTTTGACTTGGTGTACCTTTACCTCCAAGATTAATCTTAATTGGATTGTAGAAATTGGCAAGGGTATCACCAAACCCTGTTCGTTTTAGCTTGTTTTTTTTCAGCATCTAACCAAGATCTCAATGTATATACACAGATTTCTTGTTCTTATTCTTCATTATGTGTGTCGTTTACTTTTACTATAGTCCAATTGTAAAGAGACTACTTTGAGGATACACAAGATGAGGACGACAAAATTTTATTATAATCATCCTCCAAGTTTGATGTTGACTACCGTGTCGCGTCAGGAGGGCTCTATGTTATAAAGATGTATGTTTAGCGCTTTCAGTATCTCAACATCATCAGCCCTTTGCAAGTTCCTCAAATGATGAAGAACCGTCGAAAAGATGAGCGAAAGGTTTAAAACCTGCACTTTACAAAGGAGTCGGAAACGTTCAAGACTCAAACATTGTGAACTCTAGTCACCGTGACCTGTTTCTTCAAGCAACTCGGTAACGCCCAGTTTATTGGATATGAATAGCTGAGTAACTTCAAAGATTTGAGAAACATGATTGAATGAAAAGAAGAATTGTCTATAAATTTAGATAAATATGTTGTTACAAAATCCAAAGAGTTGTACCTCCAGAGATTTAAAACAAATGTGCATAGTTGAACATTCAACTTCAAGGAGTCAAAGAACCATTATGGGTTGAACAATTCTGAAGACCGCCACCGATGCTGATAGTCAAGTTTAGCTCTGTATCATAGAATTGACCTTGGACAATTGTAGAGTTATCACCCTGACATTGATCAATTGTCTTTTGGACTATTTCACCTAGGGTACTGCAATTTCCGATCACAGGACCGGGGTTCTACGGAATCGAAGACGATTAAGTATGAAATCTGTTTTGAAGGGTTTGTAAATGAGATGAAAGAAAGGACTTACTTGGTTACAGATCACTATAAATGATCCATCTTCACAGAGAAAATCACAACCCTTGAGTCCCGAACCAGCTTTGAATGTACAATTCCCATCATGACTACTGTCATAGTTATTGATGATTGATACAATATCTTCAACGCGTGCTGGATCAACAGGTGTATCACAGGTGATCTAAATCGATGAAGTTAGGTCAATGTTTGATATATATGCATGTATCAGGTATCTGTTTACCTGTTGATTACTCTGCGAGGTTGCATTACGAGGGTAGATTGCAGCTGAGAAGCAGGTTTGTGAGACCTACCAGACAGATATAACTCAGTTCGATTGATGAAAAATTGGGAATGAAGACTCGAAAAGCTAACTCACCAAAAAGATCACAAGCGCGATTGAAAAGATTGTTTGCATCGTATGTTAAAGCTGTTATTTATTAGAGCAGGATCGAATCGAGAAAGAATTGGATTGACGATGAGAATGAGATTGAGAGGATAAAGTGGATCAAAGCTTTAGAAAGTGTTTTTGGTCAACAGGTCCGGATGCCTTGATATAAATCCTTCGATGTCTTCCTAGATGGTTGAGCAATCAAGCTCCATTCGGTTTGCGGCTTTGCCACTCAATCTCTTCGAACAACACGAAAGACTTACTCATCCCACTACGTGATTTCGCATTAACCCTCACAGCTTTGAATTTGTTGCTGGCTTTAAGAAGAGTCAATCCAGAAAGCCGTCCAATGACTGTAATACAGCACGGGGCGATTGATAGTCAGGAGGTCTGGTTTCCTCAAAGACATAAGCCAAGAGACTGGATGCGAGGTTTTCATTACTAAGAGGAGTGCTGTGAGTTCTCGGAGTAATGAGATCAGATGGTCAGCTTCTGTTGACTGTTTGATGATGATGATGACGTTACTATCTTCAAGGCATGGCTCCGCTACCGCCTCGGTCGCGCTCCGCCAGCGCTCGCCTGATGTTCTCGCATGAGGACTCCGTCATGAGACTGAGAATTACATTTTGCTATGTGGAAGCAAAGTTTTCTCAAAAAGAAATCGTGTGAATTGGGCGTGTTTTGGTGTTGAGACAGCTGTTCCTATCTTTCCGTTCTCCTTTCCTCCTACTACCTATCCTTCGATTAATGAGCCGATATCAATCCATGTTGATTGCAAGGCAAGCTCCCTATGGCTGTCAAAACTCGCGTCGCGCTTCTTCCTTGAGGATGATATCTACATATGTCCTACCAGTCCATATTCCAAGGAAAAGGGTTTCGAGAAGCTCAGGGTGCTCAGTATCATATCTTATGCTCATGTTGCGCTGGAAGCTCCGCAGGGGATCAAAAGATTCCTTAAAGCTCCTTCTGTCAAAGTTAATATCAAGTTGACCCAAACAGAACCCGCATAATATCCGTAGTGAATTGAGATCAAAACCTTTATTGCAGCAATAACAGCCTCAAACAATGAAACAGGCGGAACTATTGGAGATCAAAAATTATAACTATTTCGGTGACAGTATCAGTATAGGATATTTGATACGTGCTCTTGAGTCTGACTTGATGAGATCCCTAACGCTTCTCCTAAGACTACATATGGTTTAACGAAATGGGGTTTGTTGTGGTGTTCTTATGTGAGTTGTGGAATGAGTTCAGAGTAAGATTCAAAGGTTTAAGTGGAAATAGATGAAAAATGTTTTGCAGAAGAAAATAATGAGAGCAATGAAATCTTTTCTTCAGGATAATTCTAGAGATGGAAGGATACATATATTGAGCTCATAACAAATGATATTTGATAAAAGTAAAAACAGACATCCATTAACATTGCAAATAACACAATTGAAAAAAAAGAAAATACGCAACCATTTTGACACAAGTCCAAACACAACATCAATCCATACCTAATATGGCAAATGTATCATCTCAGCATAGTTTACTTGCGAAAACAATATCACCTTCAAATTCCAGCTGGGTGGCTTCCTGTTTTAACAAGATGTCAATCATTTGGATCATCTCATTAATTATCCTAGCTGGGGTATCATCATCCCCTGTCGACTTCTTTCGCTCTGTCTGTGATCCTACCAGCCCATCACCGCCACATCATGTCCCCAGGTTTCCGAAGAACGCTTCCGACTATAACCTCACCATCCCAAATGACCTCAGAGTCACACTAAGGTACTTGGCTGTTGGTGTTGGGACTCAGAACTACACTTGCTCTCTTATCTCTGGAAAACCCACATGGAATTCCCTTGGCGCTAGTGAGTTGTGTTGTAGTTCGAGTCACGAGCAGCTTGAGGCTTCTTGAAAGGCTGAAAGGAAACTTTGCACATGTCGGATCTATCTTTCAACACACACAGTGGCACAGCTCAGGGACATTAGCAACACTCTGGAGGACCCCGCACTGGTTTCAAATGCGGCTATCAACCCTAAAGCCAAAATATCATTGACGCCATACAAACCGATTGCGATGCATTATTTTGTCCCACATGAACCACTTGCCGCCCCGGGGTTTTTCTTCGAACCCAGTAAGAAGCCATGCTCAGATGTCACAAAGGAAGAGTTTGTGATTGTTTCAAAGATTGGAGCGATGTCATCGCCAAATCACCCGGAACGCAATGTACCTTGGCTCGCACTCAAGCAAATCGAAGGTGATGCAGCTCAAATAGTTTTTAGGACTGACACTCATCTTGGGGTTGCACCCTCTCCACAGACTTGTCTCGCTGAAGGGAAAGGAGCTAACATGCGATACTCAGCTTTGGTAAGAATGTTTTGTTGTTTTTGACTTCACTTTTGGATCACATAGACTTACTTTTTTGCTATTTTGGATTCCCTCTGGGCAGTATTGGTTCTATGACTGAGTTTCTGAGCAGTGACTTACTCTGCCACATTGCTTGGATATAATAATCAAACACTGACAACCAAAACTGACCGGGTCTCTTTTAAGATTTGATTCTGATTGCGTTTTACCATCCGTCGTTGAGATGTGCCAAATTTCAGTAATACCGCATCATACCCTATCCTGACACGAAGTCTTCACCTTGAGGATAAGAACACAAAATGTTATATATGGATAGATACTGCAGATATCTTTAACTGTTTTGTTTGCATTCCTCACTCAATCATCTTGTATCTGTTTTTCCTTACTTTCTGGGTCATTTCAGAGGCTTCTCACTTCACATCTAGATGGAGATGTGCTTGAATCTCTGCTTGTGCTCTTTCCTAGGGTCACTTGAGTGTCAAAATTCATTGCCTCTGGTTGAGGCCAAAAGGGTTACAGCTGAGCTGGCATAAGCAAGACTCTAGGGATGCTCCTTAAATTCAAGCACAATCTTTACGCATCCTTGTCAATGTGAAGGATCGAGCTTCAGGGATGTTGAAATGTATGAATTTAATGGGGCTTGGGACTCGTTCTTTACAAGTGTAGTTATTTCTTACTATGTGTCAGAGATGAGTAGGTTTTGGGCAACTCTTGATAAAGATTCAAGGATGAAGGATGCATCCATGCATTCATTCAAACGAGAAAAAGAAGCCACAATTCGATGACTTTAAAGTTTTGAAGAGAAAATGCTTCAATCGAGGGCATTGACGAAGTTCTGGTAAAGCCATACAAGGTTCTCTACATGAGGGCACCCTTCATAGCACATACATATCAGATCAATTTGAACATCAGGCACGTCCTTCAAGGGAACATGAATGGAACTCATCAAGCAAATCATCAGTCGAACTCTTCAGCTTCACCTATTCTTGTCAAACAAGTGGCTAGAAATATTAATGGAATTCATACCGAAGTCTTAACTCAATCTTTTGCCGATCGAATCCTCATCCTTGTCACTCAACTCGGCAAAGTTGGCACACTGGTCTGTCCTATGCCTAGTCTTGTAGCGACTCCGATTAGATCTATGGTCGTCTTTCTGGTACCTCAGACTGATCATGCATTATCTGTTTATCTGAAAACCATTCATCATTTTGGTTCGGGTTCCCGGGCAACCCTTTTTGTTCGGTCTCGTAATCACAGACACAGATCACTATGTCAATGACTTCTATCGATCAACCTTATGACTTAGCACCAGAAGTTCCATCCCTGAATATACCATCTTTACCAATCCCAAATACTTCTTTACAACTCACACCACTCCTCAGTACACCTCCAAGTGAATCAAGGACGATTTACGACGTATTTTTAAATCAAATCGGAATGTTAGTTCTTACCGGTTTTGGCCCAAGACCTAATTTAGATCCTTCACAAATTTTCGGAATTGGTAGAAGACCATTGATTGTTGGTTTAGCACTTAAACCAGACAATTCTTTATCTTCAACTTCATCAGATGATTGTCAAGGTCTTGTAGATCTAGATAGGATAAGATTTGGAAGTGTGATGGAAATGATCATGGAATGTCGAGTATGGTGATGCAGTTCAATTGATAACATTGCTTCATTGTGAGATTAGATATTAGGCGGCCAGCCACCACACTATAATACATCACAGTGATGCATGTATTAATCATTGGCCCCATATCTTCATACTTCACTCATACCTTGGTGTGTCTTTGTTAGCAATTCCACCCATTATATCAATCAATAATCCAGATTTTTTTGCTGGTAACTTCTCCAGTTCCTTATTTTATCAATTTGACTCGTTAAACAGAAAACAATACAGCAAATTACTGGCCTCTTTCAAGCCACACTTTGATGGGTTATGCTGCACCTGCTGTTTATTTATTTTTGCATGTTCATTGATTACTGCTACATACATTTGCAATTATATCCTGTGTACCTCACTCGCATCACACAATGTAGCATTGCCCTTGAGATTGACTTTCAATTGAAAATCATGTATGCAGCATATCTCTCTTTGATCAGGATTGGTTGGAATGCCAACACACAAGCAACAAAGATCTAAGTTTGTACATACAACTCCTGAAAGGGTCAAGATATGTCAGGAGTAAATTGAGTCTAGGAATCTTGTTTTCAGAAAATCTTCTCACAGCTTCTCACCCATTTCATCTGTAAAGACTGGAGGCTTTATCAAACATTTGACTGGCCCAACCCTTAGATGGGAAGGTTAGGTGCCATTATAAGAGCATCCCCAGCTGTGCCCTAAATTTGTGCCGTACAGATCATTTGCACAAAGAGTTAGGGAAGTGTTTGAGGTATAAAATTTGGGCAATCCACAGCTGTAATTCCCCACAGTATGGCTTATAAGCATATTCTGACATCAATTCTATGGCTTTGTTGATTATCAAAGTGTTTTTTGGGGGTGGGTTTCATTGCATCAATCAGTATTATGGGGGAAGCAAGGCACATATGGACTTGGGGAGCAAGCCAAAATACGACAATTTTTTTTGATTTTGCCTTGCACAGATGGAAATCCCTTAGCTACATGAAAAGTTAGGGGATTGGCTGTTGATTCACATGGGGGGCGTGGGTTTTTGATTTGAGGCGGGCCAGGGCACTCCTTTTTGATTTGGGATAGGCGCGCCCTTAGTGGGGGCATGGAGGTGTGCCTTCAAGATAAAAAATTCTTTTTTTCCCAAAAAAGATGAATATAGAGGCACAAGCCTTTCAAGTTTCATGGGCATTTGTAGTGTTTTACTTTGTATGTCAGTAGTGAAACCCTACACTGCAAACATTATTCAACTTCCCCAAGTGGGCAGGAAAAAATGATTGGGATTGTGATTTGTCATAAAGTGATCTATCACTCCACACCTGAGCCGTAACACCCACACTACATATGTGTAGCAGGCTCAGTGAATAGGTGGATAACATGTACATACAGTTCTTTTCAGTCATCTGCTCATCAGGAGAAGTTATTCATAAGTGATCCATGCTGTAACTTTTTTCAGATTGACAAAAGCATTCAAAATATTGACTACTTACACTGACTCAACATTTTGGTGTAATCTCATCAATTCAACTGTGTATAACACCGTTTCTGTTACTAAGAAATAGCTTCAACAATATTGCCTGAGCAGCTACAGAATTATATGTAGTGAATTTTTGGGACAATTTTTTCAAAGTCAAAAAAGTTACACGTGGTATAACATGTGATTTATTTATTCTGATGGGAAAAACACTGAGCAGACCTGTATGTAAATGATAGAGGACTATTGAATTAGCTTGCTGCACATACGTAGTGTGGGTGTTATGGCTCAGGGGTGCAGTATTGGATCCTTTTATGACAAAATGTACTATGAATCATTTTCCTCTTCCACATTAGGGAAGTTGAATGATGTTCACAGTGCATGCTGTATGTAGATACAAGGTTAATCACAAAAGTTTTTATCCTTGTTCCAATCCTCATCTTCAGGGGAAGAATCAGATACATCAAACCTGTGTTGGCATTGTAGAATCTGGTCCAATGCTTTCCAAACGCAGAAGTTGGTAGAACCCAGTTGGAAGTATTCTTCTTGTTGACGTTAAGCATATCTTGATGATGTGTGGATGTAAATTTTGAAGGATTTGAGCTTCAGATGGAGTTGATTAGGCAATATTGAGGCAATTTTTAGGAAGCCACCTTGCTTTACCTGCCTCAGTTGCCTGGTTATATGACCAGGGCGCGCCACCCCCAAATCCAGCCTCAGTGGGCGCTCCCTGAGGGCGTGCTTTTAACGCCACACCCACCATGTGACTGTTGATGATTTTGCCCTAAATTTATGTACAACATGGTTTATGCCACACGGCTTTGGATGCACTTATAGCATGTTGAGAAATATTGTGTACTGATGGTCTGTTTGACTTCTTCTGATAGTGGACTCAAAAGCACATGTCCTTCCACCTTCCACTTTTTTCATGTCAGTCCTTGTGAAGGGAAGAAAATAGCTGCCCCAAATGCAAATGTTCTCAGCTTTAGGGTTACCCTAACCCTAACCCTAACCCAAGGCCATTCCACAGCAACCTGGAAATTTAACGTGAAAACCCTTCCACAGCCTTATGCCATGCTGAGATGTCCGAGTGGTTTAAGGAGCTGGATTCAAGTGTCACAACTTGCACTGAATGTGTTTCCCAGTAGGGCAACCTGCGGGGGTTTGAATCCCCCTTTCAGCAAGTTTTGTTTGCTTCATGCATCCCAGGGGTTGAGTAATTGCAACGAAGGTTTTTTTTTGTTTTTGAATCCCTGTGCTATGCTATTATTTGTAATCAAAATTCCAAGCCTTTGTTGTACTGAGAGATCCCTAGGATTGAATATCTCTGTTCCAGAGGAGTACTGCAATGGGTATGAATCAAAGTTCTTGGGGTCTATGCAACTTACACTACAAAAAATATATTGTTTTCTGGGTACAGAACACAAATATTGATATACAAAAATATTGCGCGGTCAGGAGGAGGGCAAAAAATACGAAAAATATGGATGTTGTTCCTGGTGTTGAGAGCTTCAAGCTGAGTATTTTTTACATAATTTTATGCTACAACACAAAAGTTTTATGAATCCCGTTCTTGTAAAAACATAACAGGTAAGTTTACAGCCCAAATTTAAAGACCTCACCTGGGCTGTTTCACTCTTGGAAAAAGGTGGACTTGAGAGTGGATGCAGTGACAACCTTCCCCTTTTTTCCTCATCTCATACTTTTGTGAGAGTGTTTTTAATCAATATCAAATTACTTTAGCAGTCCTAAGTTCACTAAACAGCCCCTTTTTCTCAGAGGAGAAATGTCTCTATGTGTGATAAGACTACAAGTATTCCTTGGAATAACACTATAGCAGTGTTGGGTTTTTCATTATTCAAAAATTCACGGGAATAATACTTGAATCAAACAAATCATTTCTCTGGTGCCTTATCCCAAAGAAGTCAACAAAAACCCATGTTGGTTCTTTCAAAGAGGCGGTCTCAGGCAACTCCTATTAGCTGGTTATATTAGTAGATTTTCACTGTTTAAGCTCTGTAAAGCTCTTGTTGTGCTTCAAGTTTTACAGTGGCATTGTCAGGATAGTTGAAATCAAAGAATTGTAGCCAAAATCAAGGGTTAAGAATTGTTGCTAAGACAATCACACCGGTGGATGCCGCCTCAGCCTGATACCCTCTGCGCTTCACGCGGATGATCTCAAGCATGCTCTTCAGTTTGAGGTCTTCACAACTAACCTCCAGCTTATCAAGGTCTTGGACATCACGTGAGTATTCAGCAAGGAGTATACACCCAGTGGGTGTATTGCCTTCCATTTGTTTGGTAGTGTAGAGAAAGACCTAAGAACAAATTCATGTAAGGAAACAAACATATAAAAAAGACAAGCCGGGGCCTGGGCCGGACAGGACCCAAATGTTAGGGGGTTCCAGCAATACCCAATATGTTTTTTGCGGGGTTTTTTTGGCAAAAGTTCTTTTTCTTCACTCTATCACTGCATACTTCACCCTTGTATTGTAAAAATCCAAGTCTATGCTGTTCTGTACCCTAGGAGTTGTGATGAGAGGTGCTCCACGGTCACCTACTTACTCAAGGTACATAAGTATCAGCTTAAGTGGCAACCTAAGTATTTAAGTACTTAAGCACTGTGTCATTAAGGCCAGTGAGTACGTCCAGCTCCATCCAACCTCAATCCAATCTCAAATCCATGTCAGTTCAATATCAATCCAATCTGAATGTTTGGCCTAGAGCAGCAGACAAACAACCTTCCAGAATGAACTGGAATAAAGTTTGGTTGCATGTCCATATATGAAGGTGTCAGAATGTCTGGAAGGTTTGAGAGATTATGCACCCCATGCATATCCCCCACTCAAACATAATTGGAGGTCAAACTGATATTGAACTGACATTGAATTGAGATTGGATTGAGGTGAATGGTACTCACTGGCCTGCCAGTGACTAAAATTACACTGTGAAGTAAGGTACTTAAATACTTAAGTAAGGTACTTAAATACTTAAGTTGAGTACTTAATGACTTATTATTAGGTCCCTTAGGTGCCTAGACCCAAATGTTGGAGGTTTGTAGAGAAAAATTCAAAAAAAAATGGCCAAGCAAGTTGACTCACCAAATCACACTACACAAAATGTCATCTTTACCGGGCGGTAAAGAAAACTACTGACATAGAAAAGTCCTGAGGCAACAGGAAGAGAGCTAAAAATCTGAAAAAATATGCACCTTGTTCCTAGATGTTGGGGCGTCATGACGAGTATTTTTTTGTATTTTACACACAGATATTGGTTAATGTACTAACAATAAAGGCTGAGAATCATCAAAAACCCACCTGTAACAATACCTGAAATTTGGCCCTTGACTTTGAAGACAGGATTTTGGAATCTTCAAACATCAATAACTTTTGCAGTTCTGAATCAAATCACTCGATTTGAAGTGCATTAAAAAGGTGAGCCTTTCCTCTACATTTTTCATTGAGACATCACATCTGTAGCTGGTCTAAAAAAGATCCTACAGAGCAATTCATGCAGAACTGTTTGAGCATATGTAGAGTGTTTAAAT